CCCTTCCTCCTCCTTTTCCTCTCACCCCATCACCACTGCCACCTACCTCCTCCTCCTCTAAGCCCACACATCCTCCTTTTCCAGGATGCGTCCTCTATTTCCACCTTCTGCTCCAGGTGGAATTCAAAATGGTCCCCCCCCCCTTTGGACTAAGAAGCATGCCTTTATTTTTATAGGAAGTTCTTTTAACTTATATTTAGTCGCATCCTACTTTTTCTTGAACCGCCTCCATTTTTTTGGTGGTGCCTCTTGGCCTCCATGGTGGTGAGGATGTCTGGCTATAGTTCCCAGGGTGACCTGATGCATCTTCCTTTTCCAGGACACATCTTCCACTTCCAGTTTCTGGTCCAAGAGGGATGCTAAAAAAGTCCTCCTAAGCATCCCTCAGAAGCTGGCTCCTCCTCCTCTCCCTCCCATCAGTGTGAATAACAAAGAGGAGTAAAAAGCCATGGAGAGATTCGATCACCAAAATAACCCAGTTTCCATACCAGGTTATTTTGTAGTGTAAATGAAGCCTTGGTCTTCCAGTGTCCTACTTGAACAGTCAAACTACTACACCACACTAGCTCTAAACATGAAAAGAAGGGCTTATTCCTATTCATTACAAAAAATAAAAACTAACATTAAAAGAACCAAAAAAAAAAAAGACAAAATATAAAATACTACAAGTCTGCAGGATGTGAAAAACCTAAGTATATACAGGACACCCCCACTTATCTGATGGGTTAGGGACCATAGGACTGTTAGAAAGTGGAATTGGTTGAAAAGTGGAATCCAGGGTTTTTTAGTGTTCAAATGCATTTTGACCACTGAAAACCTAAATTACACACTATATTTATTATTATTATTATTATTATTATTATTGAATGCATACAAATGCTAAATTAACACACACTATATACATAGAAATGTGCATGCAAGGGGTCCTAAATGAGCCTCACAGGCAAGAAGAACTTACAAAAGAGCAGAAACCATATCAAATTAATACAACTTGTCTGTAATTAGCAATTATTGCAAGAGTGAGTTGTTGGAAAGCAAAGCATCAAAAAGTGGTGGAAACATCTAAGTGTATAGTTTATTTAAGCCAGCTACTAACAAAATATGTTTTAAAGCCTGCAGTACACTGCATAGGAATACAAGTTACTCCCCAGATCAACTCAGTCAGTGATACTTGTAGCTTAAACATAGTATTGTTGTAAAATTTAGTTCAGATGCAGTTAAGTACAACTGATGGTTCAGAATTTATTCACTCTATGAGTACTCTATATGTAACTATTTTATACATGATATTATTACTAATCAACTACTATATGTACATGATATTATGAAGAATCCTTAGCTCCTGATTTAGGGGGGAAGCAGACGGCTTATTAAGCCATTTTGGGGGCAGGGAAGGGGAGGGGCAGCTGCACGCTCGGCACCCCCTCCCCCTCCTGAGGTCGTCCTCGGAGCAGCCGGCCCTCCGCACAGCCGGCACTCCGAGGAGGACCTCCCGCTGCAGCATCCGGACACTTTCGGTGACATATGAAAAGAGTGCTATTTTAGCGCTCCTTTCCAAGGGCGATGATGGTGCACCACTGGATCGAGGCATGGGGATGCCTCGGTCCTGCAGTGCACCTTTCCAGGGCGGCCCATGGCCGCCTGTCTGCTTAGGCCCTTAGATTCTCATAGGGACAGATAGAATTCTGAACTGAGACTCAAGCTAAATCTGTTCACTGGAGAAGTGCTTTGCAGTCAGTCTAATTATCCACATTTGATTCTCAACTGCAGCTTATACAACATCAAAAGTATGTTTACAGTATACTGGACATCAGTTCATTTTCAGTAATTGGGATTGGCCCAGGAAGACTTGTATTGGAAGCCACTTTTATAGTCATGTCTTGTTATTATGGCCACTTGGTTATACGCCATATCAAAAATTAGTATGATACTTGATAAATTATTGACAATGGAAGACTGACATTTTAATGGAACATAGAATTCCAGGGACTGAAATGATGGACAAGAGAACAATTTGCTTTATAAATCTAAAGCTTCTATTACCAGTATGTTCACTCAAGTTCTAAGACTGGATGGTCGGGGGATGGGGAGCTTTACACAAATATGCAAGAGATCGCGTTTCAAATAATTTGACTGGTTGTTTTTTCCCGAACTCTATATGGAATAAAGAAAACTGTTGATATATTGCTGTAGTAAACCATAATGTATCTTGACAAGATTTGTTCAGAAGGGGGCTTGCCTTTGCCTTCCCCTGAGGCTGAGCAAGTATGACTTGCTCAAAGACACCCAGGGGGGTTCCATGGCTGAGCAGGGATTCAAACCCTGGTCTCCAGAATCATAGTCCAATGCTCCAACCACTACACTACACTGCTTCTCCCTCCAGAATGCTCCTGGGACACATTCTCCTATCAAACAAATGTTATCCAAATTGATGTCAGTGCCACTGAAGGAGCATCAAGTACGCATTAAAAATTGTTTAACTTTGGCTGAGATTTTGCTTTTACTAAAACAATCCCTTAAGTGAAAATTGACTATTGTTTGGAATAATTTTCAAATGAGCAATTTTTTAAAAAAGTATTTGAGCCTGAAAATGGCATAAAGTTAACACAGCTGAATATCACAGGTCTTCTGTTATTTTTGTGCAACTGAGCAATAAAACAGAAGCCATACCAATTCATCACTGTTTTTAAAAAATCCTTTTATGTGAAAAGAGAGTTTGACCTCTTGTTGATGCTGCCAAGAAAGATCTCCATTAGTGCCAGATATGGGGCTATGTGTAGACACTTCACCATTCATAAATGACAGAGATCTAAATCACTTTATGGAGGTCATGAAAAAGAGCATTAAATAATCATTCATTCAATGCCAATGTGAGAAAAACTCAAACTAAAGACAAGAGGTGTCAAAGATTCCATAGTCCATTGCCCATTTTCTATGACAGGGTTTCAATGTAACATTTCCTTTTTACGACTGATAGCTGCAAACTACCTCAGAAGTTTGATGACATGAACAGGTTGTGTGTGTTCAGTGCAACTGTTTGGTAAAGCATGTTAAACACGTAACTAGAAAGAAGACTTCTTACTTACTTGACACCTGCTGAAAAGCTCACTACGGGGAAAAAAAGTCCATCAATGTTAAAATTCTCAAACATTCCTTGCACAGGCTGTCCATTAATCCGAAAAGAAATGCTGGGTGCACCCAAATCCAAACAACAGCTAACTACATCTTCAGATGCTAGCAAATGTTGATTGACAGATGCAACAGCTCTGGGTATTCGACCTAATAAGGAGACAGTCAGATAAAGAAAACATTTATTGGTTTATTTACTTGGAACATAAAGAAAAGAAAATGTGTATGGAAAAAGAATGGTAAAACTTTTGTAGAATTTCAATTCACATAGTTTTGTTTCACACTCAAAGTACAGCCTTACCCTCAATCTTTCTTTCAAATGATTTTAGTTACAATGTCAAAAATGAGATACATTTAGACATGTTTAAAGATATAATGTGATCTGTATTTTTCAGCAAGCTAAGCAAATTTTCACATTCTAGATTAACATTCCTAGATTGAAACGTTTCCTTTATATTATGTATTTCTCTGAATGTTATGGTGCAGTTCTTGAGTCAAAAAGGCATATTTCAAGGAGAAATGCACACATTGGGGAAAAATAAAATTCACTTTGAATGAGAATTTTTGTATATGAGTGTGTGTGTGTGTTTTAAAATGAACATTGCAGGAAATTGAGTGATCTGTCTGCCCTATTATTTAAATGATTCAGTCTTACATTTGAATTGCTGGCATAGGAAACATTTTTTAGTAACCTGGCATATAAACTGGATCTCAGATTTTATTTAATATAAGAAAAGTAGTACTAACATTTCAGTATTAAACACCCTTAAGCTCACAAACAACATTCACACACAAAATTCAAATCTTTTATATACAACATTTCATTTTGTATTGTCTATATGTCATCATGTCCTCAATTCCTTTTAAAAAACTTATCTTAATTGATGATGTGTATCAACTTTGTTTTCCTCTTAGCAAAAATTTTACCAACTATAATCATAGATAAAAACCTTTGTGAACTAAAGATCGTAGAATCCAGTAAAAAGAAAACTCATTATCTAAATTCCTATTGTTCAGTTTCAAACAGCATACACTTTTGAAAAGTTCAATTTTCCATTTGATTTAATACAACAAAGGTGTTCTACTATACAACATCCATGAATTTAAATTGGGTTTACAGGAGAGTACAGTTCTATGGATTGCAACCAAAAACTACTGAAGAAAATGAATGAATGAATGAATGAATGAATGAATGAATGAAAGCAGTAGCATGACACATTTTAAAAGCTCCAGAGAGAGAATAGCTTTTTAATGAACTGAATTTCGGGGGCGGGGGAGGTACCTGCCTTGTTTTCAAGCCCATCTGGGAAGCCTCCTGGAAGCACAATTTTGTTTATATAAACAGGGAAGATGCTTATATTATTTGTTTCAAAATAAAAATTGTGGCTAATTTTGGTGTTGTAATGGAAATATTAGCAGCAGTAGGATGTACTGGGAAGGTCACCTTACTCATTCCTGACCTAATAATTATCTCTCTGTGTTTACGTGTCTTTGAGTCACTTGTCAAATTATCATGACCTCATGGATTTCATAAGGTTTTCCTAGGCAAAGTATATACAGAGGTGGTTCATATTGAATTCCTTTGAAATATAGCCTACAGTACCAAGTATTCCTTGGCCACACCCCCATCCAAGTAGTAACCAAATATGACCCTGCTTTGCTTCCAAGACCAGATGGAATCTGGTGCCTTAAGGGTATTCAAGCCTCTTACTTAAGACTATGAGAACTTAATTTTCATCCACAAATATTTGTGGAACATAAGGGGTGGTTTTGAGTAGGCTAAAGGGTTCTCAGAAAAAAAACTACACTTTGAGAATGTTAACTTTGTTAACATTAAAAAGAATTCTACTTGATCAACCCGTAGATATGAAGGTTCTGCCATTCAAAAGGAATCTACTTGATCAATTATTAGTTCAAAATACCATTGCTTATATTGTGCTGAGCCATCAGCAATTCCCAGAATTGTTCTTGTTGCATTTTAAGTCAGTTCTTACCAGACCACAGATGAAGTCCATCAAAACCATATGAGTATAAGTCATCACCAACTCCATTGCCTCCCCATCCTTCTCCACCTCCAGGATAAGGAGCATAGCCTGATGTCGAGGCCCAGCCAACCCGTAGATGTGTAGGTTCTGCCGTTAAAAAGGGGTCTACTTGATCAATTATTAGTTCAAAATACCATTTCTTATATTGTGCTGAGCCTTCAGCAATTCCCAGAAATATGTTTGGCCTCATACTAAAAGGGAGCAGACAAGAAATAGTGTATAAAATGCACTGTATTACTACATGCACCACTACATACATACCTAATTCCATAGTTATTTACCTACTACATAAAAACCATAATTTTTTTAAAAAAGTTTAATATAATAAAACAGATTAAATAAAATCAGTAGACAAATCATATACCAAAATATTGCTATGGAACTACCCAATAAATAAGGTGCACAGAATAGCAAAATGAACCCTTCTGGTCACAACTCTGAATTTTATAATCTCCTCATTTCCACCCTATCCAAGAGTTTGGAGATTGGGATACTTATAGGGGTTGCAGACTGCCAGAAATAGTGCAAATTGAGTCCACTTTTAGGGTTAGGGTTAATGCTAGGAAATCATGGGAACTGTATTTTATTGTGGCACCAGAGCTCTCTGACAGAGAAGGTTCAATGTCTCAGAAAAAAAACAACAATTCCCATGATTCCCTAGCACTAGCCCTAACCCTAAAAGTGGACTCAATTTGCACTATTTCTGGCAGTCTGCAACCCCAGTTAATTTTCAATGAATTACTGATAAACAAAAATGTCAGTGTGGTGAAGTTGATGCATTACCTTTTTATTATTTATTTACAAAGCTCAGATATTATATTAACTAAGAGTCATAGACAAGTCTTAATTTCTTAATTTGTTGTTCCTTACAAAGCTAGTGCATAGGAAAGAACATGGCAATCCTTTTTCTAGGGACAGAAAAAGCAATGCCCTCCCATAGCTCCAACCCAGTATTCTCAAACAGCTCTACACCATTCTGTTATCTCTTTCTGTTTTCTCACTAAATGGAAACACTAACTTGTGTTTGACCTATATCTGTTGATTCAACATAGCAGGTCTGTTGCTGTCCATGCACTTACTTTTTCAGTAGGACGTTACCTCTTGTGTTTCCAAAGAAAAAGGTGCCTTGAAGGGAACACTGGAAGCCACCACTCTTCAGTCTCTTCATTTTCAGTGGAATTGCTTAACAGGTGTCTCATATTATGCTAAGCAGAGCTTCTGCAGGTTTTACACTTTGTGAAGCAGTGCTTAAAATTAACTGCAACAAATCTCCTTTCCTTTTTTTTTTTTTTTGAACTTCAGTACCCAGGATATTAATAGGTGTTTATATTTCAGCCTTCATTTGTTGGTTTATTTGGTACTGGAGGAATTTTGTGCTGCCTACATTTTTTATTTATTTATTTATTTAGCATATCCTGAGAGGGAGCTTTTATTTGCACTGTTTAGCCTGGTTTCAGGGCAGCACACAGTTGCATAGTTTTGTTTGCTTCTTTCCTGGTTTGTTTGTTTGTTTGTTTGAATCAATAATGCATTTATACTGCAGCCTTGATTTTTTTTGGTAATTTTGTAAAGAAATGATATGACTCTGAAAAATAGAATGTACTAGTGGTACAGCTTCCCATTTCCTGTTACAGAAATATCTTGTTAAATAAAAATATATAAAATACAAACTATGTAATTGATATCTACATGTACCTTGTCACATCATTCACCAGACGTGTTTGCAAGAGCAGATCTCTTCGTGGAAGAAGATTATCACAGATTAAGTTCTGATTAGCACGCACTGCTACTCCATTACACAGACAGAGAGAACATAGTACATCAAGAACCTGGGAGGCATTAGAAATTGATCTTAGAAGCATCCATTATAAGACAAAATATTGGTTCCAAGCATTTGTCATTCTTAATCTAAGGAACCCATAATGTTATACAAAAGCCCAAAATGGGAAGGGGCAAAGCCAGGTTTCCAGAGGTCCTATATATGTGAGCTCCTCTTCAGCCCTCCTCTTGGACACACAGAAGACTACTGCATGAGCAATTAAACCAGCTTACCTGAGCCAGCTTAAAATTTAAAACAAATGGCATTCTGATCTTATCACAAGGATTTAGCTACCGAAATCACCACCCGGGTCCATCCCAGGTCCATTCCTGCTCCCAGGGCCACTCCAATGGTCATTTTCTTAAGCCAGAAAACTCCC